CCCAAAACCCCAAAACCCCAAAACCCCAAAACCCCTTATAATAAAATATAAATGAAATATCCTATTTCCGAATATGTAACTGTAATTACTGGTGAGATGTCGTCTAAATCAACACTAATCGATCTATTTGGCTCGCTAGAATACAGCTTCCTCAAGGAATTATATAAATTAAACCTAGTATTGCAGGAAGAAATTAGCTACAGATTCAGAGTCAAATGGAACAAGCATTACGAGTTAACCTATTACGGGCTTAATCTTAGAGACATTTATCTGTTTAGTTTTAGCCCACTCGACCTTGTCCTGACCTGAGAACCGATAGGGTGAGAAACCTCCCTCTTTTGGGCAATACTAGACGCATTAGATTTGGTCTTAGTCATTGCTACTTGAGATACAGTTCTTCCACTTCTAAGATTCAGTTGACCAAAACTAGCTGTGTTGTGCGACCCCTCTAGATTTGGAATTGAAGGATTTTTAGTGTTCATGTTGGAAGACTGGAAGTTATCCATCTGCAAACGAGGCATTTGTTGAGGGTTTGCTGCCTGAATTCTGGGATTTGATAACTCTTTCTCGACCATGTTCATGGGGTTTGACCTTAATCCTGAGTAGAAGCCGGGGGAAAAGTTGTTAGTAAGCCCAAAGTGATGATCAGCTGTCTGGAATTGGTTGGAATCATTGAATATGGATTGTCTATAGCTCGGATCTGACTCTTCTCTTCCAAAGCGATTTACATTATCAAAGTTGAGAACTTTTGTTTTATTCCTGCCAAAATTACCAGGATTTGAAAATTTATCAAACGCAATTGAACTGTTTTTATCAAAAGGATTTTTGAAACCCCCACTTGGAGTTGCATAGTTGAAAGGATTAGATTTCCTTCCGATAGATGAAGTCTTACTAATATTTCTGGCATCTTGGAGGAAGCTCACGTTGCTAAAGTTTCTATCTTCAGCAAATGCAACATTTGGCTTGTATCCATGCACATTCTTTTTAACTTTCTTTCCAATGTTCATATCTAAGGAGTCATTATCACTATCTCCACCAGATTCGTTGTTTTGGAGTATTTCATCAAGCTTTGGGTTCTGTAACTTACTCACAGCTCTCTTAGTCTTGTCACCAAAAGACCCATTGCTAAAGACTTGGGAAGGGATTTTCTCAGCCTTTTTGACATTTTCAATGGTCTCACTAATTTTAACCCTCTTAAAGGCAGTCTTATATGGGTTGGAAGATATTCTTTTGTTACCTTGCTTCTTCCAATCTGGGTCATAATTTATCAGTTCCAAGAGGAGATATAAATTAAAATTATCAGATTCTTCCGAATAATTGTTCCGCTTTTTAGATGAAAGTCGAGATGAACGCCTTGAAACTGACCCATCCTCAATTTGTGCTTCATCTTCAGCCGCCACTAGGACTTTAACCCTTCTATTGACTATTTCGTTCAAGGTGACTTTGACTTCTCTAAACTCTTTCTCGTTTTTCTTCAGTGAGAGCTCTTTTAAATAGTGCTTGTTTATCCATTGCCATTTTTCTGAATCTACTGTTGACAGTTCTTCATAACTAATCTTCTTGTCCATCAAGCATTTGTAGATATAGTCACAAGTCAGTTTTACAAGAGGGTATTCTGTAAGATTTTTGAATGCTTCACTTTTCATGATTTTATTAGCTCTTCTCATATATCTCCTCAGAGTAGCATAAAAGTGATTCTTGATAGCGTTATCAGTACGCTTTCCAAGAGTCTTCGCAATTTCAGCCCATTTCAAGTTCTGTTTAATATGTAACAAAAAAATTTGGTTTTCCTCAGTTTCGGTTAGAGGTTCCTTTTTAACGTCAGGTGCAAGATGATTATGCCACCTCTCTCTGCACTGTTTTCCGGTCCTACCCTTAATATCGTAGTCTGTGCTCATTCTCTCTGCAATTTTTCCCCAGTTACACTCTCCAATCTCTTTGACCAAGTTTGTGATAGCTGTATCCTCTTCTTTTGACCAGAGCTTCCTTTTGAAGCTTTTGCCTTTCTTTTTCTTGGTCTCTTCTTCGTGGATCAATTTAATTTTTGAGCCTCTTTTTGACATTTGTATTTTTATGAATTTAATGATTATTTCAACTTGCCTACTTTTAAAGGGGTTTTGGGGTTTTGGGGTTTTGGGGTTTTGGGGTTTTGGGG